CCGTGGGCTGAAGCGTGCGCTGGCCGCTTGGGTGGCGCAGCCTTGCGCGTGGGTGGAGCTGGCGCGGGAGGAGGGCAGCGGGTGGCTCACCCAGACGTCCCCGCCCCCAGGTGATCTGTGAGCTCCGAGGCGCCGGCTGCTGGGGCTGGAGCGTGGCCTGCACCCGAGCGGGGCGACGCAGGACCCCCGGCGCTCCCGCCTGCCCCGCGGCGGGCCCCAGAGCGCGCCTCTTTTCGAGCACGTTGCAGGGTCCTGCGCTTTTGTTTGGGTCGCGCAATAAATGAGTGCCGACGACAGCCCAGGTATGGAGACCAGCCTTTGGAAGACACCTGGTCCAGCTTTCTCCCCAGTTTAAGTGGCATTTACTTTCGACTGACTACAAAGTCGTTCAGTTCAACAAGTATTGATTGGTTCCCTCCATGGTGCTTGGCACTTCTTGGGTGCTCAAGAAGCATTTGCCCAGTTGAAAGTGAATTCGAGTGTATCTGTGCCGTCACACGTTTTCTTCAAGCATTTTCTGGCTGCAGTGGTTCTCAGACTGTAGCGTGCATCAGAAGTACCTGGAGGGCTGCTACAACACAATGCAGGACCCCATCCCCAAAGTTGCTGATTCAGTAGTTCTGAGTGGGGAGCAGGAAGTTTCATTCCCTAGAAGATGGGGAAGTTGCTGGTCTGAGGACTTATTTTTGAGTTCTATTGTAGAGGAAAAAATCCTATGAACTTAAAGCTCCAACCCTTTACAGCTGGTTATGGGCCTTCTGTCCTTCTTTGCCAGTTTAATTTTGTAGTTATAGTAAAAGTGTGCATATTACTTTGTATGCTGTTAATTCCCCCCACATTACCTTATAGACAGATTTTCATGTAGTCTATGCTTCCTGGATTACATCATATTCTATCTTATTGTGTCATTACTGGTGTGGCTGTTTCGCAACAGCCCTCACAGATGCCTGGTTTGATCTCAGCTGGGAGAGTTTGCATTTTTCTTTTTTTAAAATATATTTTTATTCACTTCAGAGAGAGGAAAGGAGAGGGAGAGAGAGAGAGAGAAACATCAATGATGAGAGAGTCATTGATCGGCTGCCTCCTGCACGCCCCCGACTGGGGATTGAGCCTGCAACCTGGGCATGTGCCCTGACCCAGAATCGAACCCGATCTCCTGGATCCTAGGTCATGCTCAACCACTGAGCCACGCCCGGCCAGGCTAATTTCTTTTTGATATACACGTTTTCTTGTCAGACGAAAGACCTGTAAGATAAGAATAGTGCTTGATTCAGGCATCCATTCTCTCCGTCTCGCTTCCTCCCAACTCACTGAATATACCTCCTGGGTTTAGATTTTCATGTCAGAGGGATTCCAGTGACCCACCTCAGGGCCCAGCAGGCCACTTGTTTGCCTTTACCCTGTGCTCTCTTGGTTGGAAAGACATACCTGTATTCAAGTTTAGGCTCCATCACTTACTAGCTTCCCTGCTGAGTTTCTTACCTTTCCTAAAACTCAACTTCCTTATCTGTAGAATAGTGTGCACCTTGGAACATATTGTGCAAGTAACGAGATGTTAAAGCACTTGGCACTTTACCTTTCCTGTTGGAAGCACATTCACTTAGCTTGCTGCTGGCTCTTGGCACTTGGTTTTCCACTGTCCTCCCTGAGCCCCTCTTTCCCATGAGAATGGAGAATTTCTATTCCTTGCTTGGGTGAAATTTATTTTCCCTGTCTACTCTGGGACCTTGGCATCAGTCAGGGATTCCTTAATTTAATATTGATTCAGCACCTTCTGGGCATCCAACACTAGGAATGGGAGTGTGGTTACACTGGGACTGCATCACTCTCTGCGGGGCAGGGTAGATTGTAAACCTGCTCAGCCCAACTGGATGGTCCCTGAGCATTGACTCAACATCTTTCCAGACTCAAGACTCGAGACATGATGGTATCATCCTTCTTGTTTGCTTTTTTTTTTTTTTTTTTTAAAAACATATCTTTATTGATTTCAGAGAGGAAGGGAGAGAGAGATAGAAACATCAGTGATGAGAGAATCATTGATTGGCTGCCTCCTGCGTGCCCCCTGCTGGGGATCAAGCCTGCAACCTGGGTATGTGCCCTGACCTGAATCAAACCTTGATCTCTTGGATCCTAGGTCGATGCTCAAGCGCTGAGCCACGCCCGGCCAGGTCATCTTGTTTGCTTTTTATCCACGACAGTAACCAGGTTTCCCTGAAAACCTGATTACTTAAAGGGTATTACTGGGTCTTTTCCAGCCTTGGGAGCAGACCAGAAAAAATAATGCTCATTTGTCTAATAGTCTGTCTAGGAAATGGCAGGAGGCTTTGGTCATTTTATAGGATTAATGGAATTCGAGCCCTAAGTGCCTTTCATCTGTGGCCATCCTCACCTGTGCACCAAGCAGGGTGAGGTGATTCCAGGCTTAGTGTCTCAGAACGTGGCATGGGGAGGGGGCTGGGGATGCATGATAACTGAAAAGGTCTAGCCACTTGTCGGCCCATGAACAGTAAGTGCTTGGTTCCCCATTTAGTTCTGTTCAGGGAGTGGATATTTCATTTGACTATCAACTTCTCATTTCTAGAACTTTCCAGCCTTTTCTGTTGCCTCTTATCATCACCCACCGAGGTGTACCCTATGGTCCAACGAGATGGATTCCATTCATATCATAGATTTGACAGTAACACAGCTTTCCTAACAGTTTCATAGGCTGGAATTGGCTGTTCCTAGTAAGGTGCTTTGGTTGCTCTTGTGACAAGTTGTTGATTTCCAAGGGCTCCAAGCAGCATCTTCTACGTGCCTGGCATTGTTTGGGTACAGTAGAGGGTCAGAAATCATAGTCTCTACCCACAGTGGCTGATGCAGTTAATCTGTGGATGGTGGTACGAATGTTGGTGAATAGAGGTCCGGGAGAGCCTGCCAAGGAGATCACGTGCCACGGAGAGTAGGGCCCAAGCTCTTACTCTACCGTTTATTAGCCAAGCCACCTGGGCCAAATCACTCACCCTCTATGCTTCTCAGTTTCCTCGCTTATACCTGGGCCTGGTAATAGTATTTGTCTCACCTCACTGGGTTGTGTGGAATATCTAATGAGAAATGAATGAAAAGGACTTTGTAAAGGTTAGTTATAGCTAGTATTATTATCTAATGATTAGGTTTAGGTCTTGGTGGCCTCAGGACCCCTCCCCTTCAAGTGTGTGCTATTATTAGGGGTAACTCAGGTGAAAGTCAAAAAGGCAAGTAACCGAGAGGGCAGGTGATTCATTAGCAAAGGGTTTAATAATGAAAGGTGTTTTTCATGGACAGAAGTATTTCACAGCTGACAGGGTCTTTTAAAATACCCTGAGGGAAGCAACTCATTTGCATGTTAAAGACTCGCTGACGCCTTATGGAAAACTCCAACTCCAGTCTGTTTAGGCACAGTTTTGCGCCTATATCATCTATTTTATGTTTTTCAATTTCTACCTCTTTTATTACTGAGGACATTTGCATGAAAACCGGGTCTTGGGAGTTGTGTCTCCTTCGCTACCGCTTCCCCACCCAGAGGTTGACTCAAGGCTAGGGGTGCCTCATTGCCTATAGGGACAGATGTGGGGGTTGGCACACTAGGAGATGGGGTTTAGAGGAGACAAGGGCTGGGAGCTGGTGCTTGGGGTGACTAGAGGACGATGGCTGTCCAACTGTCATCCCTGGGTATGTGATTCTCCCCTGGGGATCTATGTTGTTACTGGCTCTGCACAGGATCATGGGTATAGTTTGTTCATTAACTGGTTCATTCATTCAGTAAATACTTTTGGAGTACCTACTATGAGCTGAGCCAAGGTTTGGCAAACTATACCTTGAGCGCCAAATCTGGTCACACCCATTACTTTACATGTCAGCTAGGCTGCTTTTTGCCTTGAGCAGAGTTGAAGAGTTGTGACATTGTAGCCTGCAGAGCCAAAAGCATTTACTGTATGGCCCTTTACAGAAATAGTTTGTTGACTCCTGCTCTAGGCAGGAGAACAGCAAGTATAAAGGCTCTGAGGCCAGAATGTGCCTGGCATGTTTGAGGAATAGCAAGGAGGTCAGTGCCATTGGAGTGAAGTGAGCAAGGGGGAAGGTGGAAAGGGCTGAGACCCTGGAGGGAATTGGGCAGTCAGTTCAGGTAGGACCTTGTAAGTCATGTGAAGGCCTTGGCTTTTCATCTGAGTGAGGTGAGACCCATTGGAGAGTTGAGAGCAGAGGAATGCACAGTTGGACTTAAGTTTCCATGCTTTGAGTAGACTGGGAAAAAAATTCACTCACTTATTCAGCCATTCTTATTAGCAGACTTATTAGCAAATTATTCTCTTTGTATCTAGTGGAAGAGGCAGATATAGGACCAGATAGTTAGAGATAAAAACAGTGCATGATAAGACCAGAGAGGAAGGAACAATGAGTTCTGAGTGATTGGTTCCCAAAGGCTTCATAGAGGGATTGTGGGGGACTGAGGGTAGATGGATATTTTAGGAGATGAAGCTTGAAAGGTGGATTGGGCTGAGAATGTGGAGGGGACCTTGAATGGCTTGCTAGAGAATTTGGACTTTTTGGTAGGTGGACGGGAGGTAGGAGTGATAGGAATGTACTTGTGGGCTAGGATGGTGATAACTCCAGTGGCGGAGTGAGGTTAAATGGGATGTGGGAAAGTGTTTGGAATGGGAACGGCTGAGTGGCTTTCCTCTCCTTTATTAATTGTATGAGGTTGTGCCAAATTCTGGCCTCCGAGGTGCTAGTTCTTCTATGTAAGTTCTTCAGCTTCTCAGAGAAGAAATGAAGTTTCATTTACTGAGCACGTTAGGCATTATGTTAAAGCAGCATCTCATTTAATTCTCACAATGATCCTATGAGGTAGGCATTACCAAGAGCTTCCTTTTGTAGATGATTACATGGAGGCTCCAAGATGTTGTAACCTGCTCAAGGCCCCACAGCTGGTGAGCAGTAGAGCCAGGGCTCTTTCTGGCTCATACTATGTTCTTAACATGGGATTCTCTGCAGGTCCCACAGAGAAGGTCCCTGGATCACCCCTCGTGGACCTTCCTATATGGATGATCTTGAAGAAGGAAGATGTGAGAGGTGTCATCTTTCCTCTTACCCTCTTTGATTTTCTTCTCAGGACTTAATACCAGCTGACATTCTAATGTATTATGCCTGTTTGCTTGTGATCTGTCATCCCATCTAGAGAGTAGGTGCCACAAGGGCTAGAACTTTGTCTGTTTTGTCCCCGGTACCCAGAACAGTGCTTGGCACTGCTGAAGCTAGAGTGACATTGAGAGTTGACTTGTGTTAGGTACTATGCTAAGCATTTTATATACATGATCTTATTTTATCTCAACAACTTTTAGGTTGGGTATGATTCTGTTTTACAAATGAGGAAACTGAGGTGCAATGGAGTTAAGAAAATGACCCAAGCTCATTGCAATCTATTAAGTGGCAGAGCCTGGATTTGAATCCTGGTCTGCCTGTGAAACTCAACTATTCCTTTTTCTTTACTTTCCTTTTGCAGGGTCTGGGAACATGGCCAGAAGGGCTCTCAAGCTTGCTTCTTGGACCAGCATGGCTCTTGCTGCCTCTGGCTTCTACCTCTATAGTAACAAGTACCTGGACCCTAATGACTTTGGTGCTGTCAGGGTGGGCAGAGCAGTTGCTACGGTAGGTTCTTTCATTTGGGGATGGAGAGGAACTGCAGTATTTCATGCAGGTATTCATGCATGTAGCAGATGGACATGCTGGTCACACATGTGTAGAGATAAATATGTGCCCTTACATGTGCAAAGCTCCCTTTACACAGTTCCCAGGCATGGATATATATCCTCACATACCAGTTGATATTTCTGTATGCACAGCCTTTGCCATCCTGAAGTTAAACAGAGTGGGCTTGCACAGGACCTCTATGTTAAAGGCTTTACATTTTAAGTTCTACATCTTATTGTAGTGACAGACTCAGAGGGCTGCACTCCTCAGCGAATGCCTAGAAAGAAGGCTTTGCAGCTTTGATTAAATTCTATTAGAAAACTTGGTCTCTTTCTCCAGTAAGCTAGTGCGAATGGTACCTGATGCAGGGCTCATACTCAGAGTATCTAGGCCTTGGAGAAGTTTGGGGGATCCCCTTCAATCTCTGGACTGACAGAGAATCTGAGTTGACTACGTGACCATTGATGGTTTTGTCCAGTGGCTGAGGAGCATCATTCTGGTGTGATCGTGTCCTCTGTGGAAAACAGCTACATAATTGTCCCATTTGCTTGTGGGTAGATTGCTGTGTACTATGGGATGAGCTTATTCTTTCTTCCCCCTGGCATAGGTTTATTCTGATGTAGGTATATTTCGATGCACAGTCTGTTTGGATTGTTGTCCAACCATGTTTTTATTGATTTCAGAGAGAGGAAGAGAGAAAGAGATAGAAACATCAGTGATGAGAGAGAGAGTCATTGATTGGCTGCCTCTTGCACACAAACCCACAACCTGGGCATGTGCCCTGACTGGGAATAGAACCGTGACCTCCTGGTTCATAGGTTGACACTCAACCACTGAGCCATGCTGGCTGGGCCCAACCATTTTTTTAATACTTGGTGTCAAATCTTCTCGCTGGCCTGGCTCAGAGAGGAGGCTACTGTGGTGCCTGCCCTCTAGGGAAAGGGGGTCAGAGAATCAAGTCAGAGAATCAGTAGCTAAGCAGGCCGTGGACTATGAAACGATTTCCCTGTTTTCTGATTGCCCTTTTTTGGGGTCTAGCATTGCCTTATATGTTTTGAGGAGTAGAAACAAACTGTCCCACCTAGACACAGCTTTGAAGGAGCTTCTGGCTGAGAAGTGCTCATGTGAATGGGTCAGAAAACAATCTAAAGCCATGTACTGCTCAAGATGAGTGACTCAGGTGACCACTGCTGTGGGACCTCAGACATAGGAGTGAGCCCTTGGACTGGGAGTCAGGATGAGTGCCAGAGGGGAAGTGGAGTGTGTTGGAACTTTAGGGATTTGAATAGTTGGGCAGAAGGGAGGAAGGTTTTTACCAGTGTTTTATAAATCATCCACTATACTGTGCATTCTTTAAAGGATAGGGCCCTGGTCGTCACCATCCTCCTGCATTGATTAGTGACCAGGCCTTGCTGCTGGCTGGCATTCAACAAGTATATGTCAATGGAATAAAGCTTTGGAGTGCGGACAAAGGAACAAAGTCCTTTCACTGTCAGCTTTGTAAGCCCCTTCGCTTCTAGGAGCCTCAGTTGCTCAATTCTAAAAGGGAAGGTTTGGGCTAAATAATCCCCACAGTTCCTCAATGCCTGAGATATCTGGGAGCCTGTAATCTGATTTACCGCGATAAGTGGACTTCTGGAGTTTTGGCCAAGGGACTGAGAATTAAAAGTTATGCTGTTAGAGCAAACATACATATAAAATCATGTTTATTTGTGATGTAGAGAGATGGAATAAGCTTATCCAACAGCACTCATTCAACTAGTATTTACTGAGCATTTACCTATATGCCCGGAATGGAATGATGTTAAACAGGAAGGACAAGCCCCTGCACCTATAGAGCTGAAATTCTAGCAGAGGGGAGACAGTCCATATACAAGAAAACAAATGAGCACGGTAGTTTTGGACAGTGGTTTGTTATGATAGACAATTGAGAGTTCCTGGTCGGTGGGGCAACTTTAGATTGGAACTCTGCAGAAATGGCATTTATGCAGAGCTCTGACTGAGAGGAAGAAGCCAGCCAGGCTGAGATTTGGGGCAAAGTATCTTAGGGGTCGGACTGTCTATTCCTCCAGATGTACCTACCTGTGTCAGGGGCCTGCAGCTTCAGTTCTTTGGCAGAGGAATACTATTTGATGTCTGGGCACTAAGCTTTTCCTGTCCTTGGTTCGCAGACAGCTGTCATCAGTTATGACTATCTCACTTCCTTGAGGAGCGTCCCCTATGGCTCAGAGGAGTACATACAGCTTCGATCCGAGGTAAGGGACCTAAGAGACCCGTCTGAGCCAGGCCAGGACTGCGTAAGTCCTAAAGTGGCTTCAAAGCCAGCAGACTTTCTGTGTGCAGTTGGAGGTGGGTGGGGACAG